CAGATATAGAGAACTTGGGGTTCCTAACAACCATGCAATACCTGGTGGACCACCAAAACTGTCAGCATCAGATAAACAGTACTTAAATCTTTCATCTTTGAGAGAGAGGGGAAAAGCAAGCTCCACTCTTGCTTCCAATCTGAAAAAATCGAAGTGCGATTTTTGTGCGAAGGCAACTCACCACCATGAGTCTGAAAGGATGTGTAAGTATCAAACAGCTGTTACTGAGAGAAGAAAATAAGTCAAACGAGAATAACATATACAAATCAAACACAGCTGCTGGTGTTCTGAGAACAATGGACTGACCACCCAAGAGTCCATACTTTAACATCACTAAACGTGTTTGGGATTGCTCGTCATCATGAGAGGCAGAAAATACAACCAGCTTCAAAGACTGAACTTTGGAAGTGTGAAAAAACATCCCTGCAGGTTTCTTACATTGCTGAAAGCAAGTCTCCTGAAAAGAATGCAAAGCTGTGCTATATTGAAAAATGTGGTATTATATATAGTTATTAAGGTTTCTGAGCCATTTTCTGTTCAATGTGTTTGTTTCTTACTGAAGCTTGAAAAATGAATAACTTGCACTTCATGGATGTTTTGGAAATGTGATAGGAGTGGACTGACTTTTTCACAGTACTGTAGAAATGTTTGACACTACACTATCTCTCCATAGTATTCGAATTAAATCAGTGTCCTTGAGCTGCGTTGTGCAGAGCACCAGAGGTGCTTAACATCTGTGGCATTACAGCATTAGATTATAGCTTTAAAGGCTTATGGATATCTGTACAGCTAGAATGGTTAACTGTTTATTTGTTTACCTTGGCACACCTAGACTTTGTCAGGCCTGACTGATTTGCTAATCCACTACACATGCTGCAAGGCGCCATGGCTGAGATTTGTTTTTTATTAAATTTTTTTGGAAGGTTTTTTTTTTATAGCCACTAGCTGGGGCTATAAACACTTCCTAGGACTGGGAGGCTCTGGGCTTTCCGCAGTGTGGCATTAATTCTGAGATTTTGTAGTGTCACCTCGCTGCTAATTACCCGTGTAAACAGGCCCCCTGGGGACTGCAAACATGCTCACTGTCCGTGTCTCACAGTGGGGCCCCGTCATGGCATCAGGGAGGCAGCCCCGTTATTTATTTGTTTATTTATTTATTTTTTGCACGTTCAAAGCAGATTCCCTCCGCTGTGTATAAGCGTGCAGAAACAGGCCATGACGAAAGAGCTGCTGGATAAACTGCAAGAGACCTGGAGGATGGCATCTTGGCCTGGCCCACTTCATACTATGTTTTCATACAGGAGATTCTTTTTGGGCAGGAAAAGTTTATTACATTTTGTCCGTTCTTGACTCAGTGTGGTCTTTCTGGGGGGTATAGGCAGTATGTGTAGCTAGGTGAAGACCTACAAGGTCACCTGAGGCCTTGTATTTGCCTGGAATTCATGCTGGACCTTCAGTCTCCTGGAGCCTTGCCTGATGGCCCCTGTGCTTTTGAGTGCCTGTCAGTGTTATTGATTATCAGATGGCAAACTTCCAGTTTAGCCAGAGCTGAGAGAACACAACTCCTGCCAGCTCAGAATCAAGTTGAGCCTTCGCTGATCTTTCTGGGCATGAATGGCTCATGCTCGACTCCCTGAGGTTGTGATCATTATTTACTGTCTGCAAGTCCCACACATTGGAAATAAGGAGGCATTGAACACGTTGATGGATAAATGAAATGGTATTTTCGAAGTTAATAGGATGGATTTGTCAGCTTATTGAGGCTTGCCAAGCTTTCCACTGAGGGATGAATAGGTCTAATTTGTCCTTATGGACCTCTTGGCTCTCAGAAGTAAGCTAACCTGGTTGCCAGGTCAGCTGATGGAAGGCCTGCTGTAGTTTAATTTGTGCGTACGTGTGAAACCGTAGACCCTTGTTACAATATAATACATTTATGACTTAGTCGACTGTTTTTCCAGAAATGCTAGCTGTGTCTTCCTAAACATTTCACATGAAATCCTTGACCCTCCTTTATGGCTATGCCTTTTTTCCTCATTTGGGTGAAGTCTGAAGTACTACCAATGGGCAGGAATTCATCTGTGGGCCTGTTTCAGGCCCATGGCTCTTCATTAGTCTCCATAATCGCTGCAATATAGCGTACCTGAAAACGGGGCTTATTACAGTTCATCGTTTGGGATGACTTGTGAAATTATTCTCACAGGATTATGATTTAATCCCCTCTTCTGCCTGTAAGGAGAACCTCATTTTGTATTTCTTATTCCTTTCATAAGGAGGTGTTCACGACTTTTCACAGCTCGGTTTCTGTTGTGTGTTTTTTAGTCGTCTGTTTGTTGATCCACCACTGCGTTTTGCAAATAAGTTGTTTTTTTGGCCTTAGAATTCTTCACTTCAACCAAGAGTTTATGTCCAATACTCACTAGAAGCTGAACATCTTTTGGCCTTGTGTTGTAGATTGCTTTTGATGCTACCTCCAACAGGATTCGAGCACCCGTTGGGCTCTGAGAAATTGCCTCTCAGTACAGGCTCAAGGTGAAGCCTGGCCCCCATTTTAGATTAATGGATGGAACGTGTGGTATTGATCCCACCGCCCCCACAAACCAGTGGTCTCCTAAAGCTGGTCAAGTTCTTGGAGTATGCGCTTGTGTCGAAGGTCTTTGAACCAGGATCTTTTTGAGCATGTTTTTCTCCCTGGTCTCTTCTCTCTAACCTGACTTTACTCTGGTGAATACAGTCTGCGACTCTTCTCACTATCTTAGCACGCTGGCTCCTGCTTTGTCTCATCAGAAAATGTATTCCTCAGGCCTATTTTTTATTAAGATTTAAATGAGGTCGTATGTGGTGGTTGCATTTGAAAATCTATTACGGCAGCGGGTGCGGGCCTCCCGGACGCAGGAGATCGATAGTGCTTTGTTGGCAGGATGGAGGCTCTGCTCCTGTTTGCCGGAGATGAATTAGATTTTTCTACAGAAAAAAAAAAGCTGAGCCTTGCTCTGGTGGCATTCTTATCACCAATGTGAGGAATCCCAACCGCTGCAGCCTGGCTCTTTAATCCTCTACGATCACTAAAAGGGTTATGTAGAGCACTAAGGGTTGGAGCTCTGCTTTTTGTTCTTAAATGTGGTGTCTGTGCCTCTCTGCTTCCTGTCTTTTAATTACAGCTGTCTCTCTCTGGCATAAGGGCAGTTTAATTCTCCTGTCTTAAACATAGCTCTTCTGTACATGGTGTCAGAGGGTGCATATTTATTAGTCACTCTCTGAAATTAACAGCTAGGGGTGTAGGGATTTTATTGCAGTGGGCTCGAAGTCGTGTCTGGGACTGTCACTGCCTTTTACAATGTAGTTTGTCCCTTGAGGCTTATTTGTACTTCTGAGAAAGTGCATGAAAGAGGTTTATAGGTAAGCGTGGCTTGCAGAAGTCACAATGTGCAGACCTCCAACATCTCAATTAATTATTGTTCAAATCTGTGTATGAAGCAAATACTGATTGGCTGTCTGGTTGCTGTGGGAATGGGACAAGACCTAAACAGTACTGGATAATATTCAAGATTTGAGTATGGAGCAGATTTTTTTCAAACGGAAAATTTCCTTTTCATTTTCTGTACATTTTTGTTATATATACTGGCACCTAGTACACATGTTCACGTTATGTGTAAGTATGTTAGCAGACACCTATGTGAATGGATGTGCATGATGCCCACACATTTGCAGATACAATTTACTGTAGACAAGGATTGACAAAAAGAGCTTGAGGATTAGGCGAGAAGGCCCATGTGTTAGAGCGGTGGTTCTCAACCCTGGTGCTGAAGTACCCCTGCCTTGCACATTTTAGTTTTTTCACACTGCTTTAACATAGCCACTTAAACTTAAGAAGAGATTTTTTTATTACAGGCCTGCAACTGTTGAATATTTTTTCATCAAATGTTTTCTCCAATACTCAGACACATATTATATAAGAATAAGAAACCCCTTCACTTTGGAGACGTGTTCAGCCTCATCTGCTTAGGGCTGCTGTGGCTGCAGTTCATTTCGAAAAAGCTGGATCACACCTGATACTAGTTGTTTAATGAGTTGGTCAGATGTGCTCCCTAAAAATATGAATTAGTTCTTGTACACGACAATTATTTATCACCCACCCCAATTCTTCGGTGACATGAAGCTGAAGTCAGCTATTTATTAGCTTCTTGTTAGAATTTTCCTGTTCCACCTTAAATGGTGCAGCAGTTTTGACATCTCTTGCGCCAGAATGTGAATGCTGCACTATTTAAGGTGGAACGGGAAATTTAGCTAGCTACCGAGACATCAGCATACTCCTAGTGATTTTTTTATGCTTGTTATGAAGAAAATTATTATAAGACATTGAAACAACATTGAACTAAATACTTACGCTTTTGTGTTTCTTTGGTGGCTTGCACGGCCGTCTTGCCACTTTTTCTTTTTTCCCCTCATAACACTTCGTTTGGAATGTGCCTCTGAAAAACTCTGTTTGGAGGGCCATGTAGCCCTAACACTTTGCCCTACCCCTCTATCTCAACAAAAATCAGGACACTCTACCCCTAAACACGCAAAACGGAGGGGTAAGGGCTAAGTGCTAGGGCCAAGAGGTGAAATGGGTTAGGCCTTTGAATGAGTCAGCAATGAGTGTTGCAGCATAACAGAGGCAATAATGACTGTTTACCATCGTCTTAAGAAATTAAAACAAGTTTTTGTCAGTCACTCCCTTGTCAGGCGACCGTATTTAAGTGTCTTACAAAATTTTTCTTTCTTCTGGAGCAAGCCCCATGCAGTCTGTGGTTTCACTCTGCTCTGGGTAGTTAGCTAATTAGCACCTTCTCATTCTTAGAAATAAATGCAACTGCAAGCACACTAACTACCTTGCAGTCTGGAGCTGTAGGAGGACATCAGTCCTCTGTATTGTACTATAAGCGTCTGTAGTGTGTGTGCTGTCTTGAGGTGAAGGCAGTGTTTTGTGTGTATTAAGGTTTACTCTGGTCACTCTGCAGGTGGTGATGAAGATCATCAAACACTACCAGGAGGAGGGCCAGGGCAGTGAGGTGGTGCAAGGCGTCCTGCTGGGACTGGTGGTGGAAGACCGATTGGAGATCACCAACTGCTTCCCGTTCCCACAGCACACCGAGGACGACGCTGACTTCGACGAGGGTGAGTGAGCGAAGCTTAGCCCAACTGCATTTGACTTTGTTCATATTACTGGGATAAAGTGGCACAAACAGTTGATTTTAATCAGGCAAAGAACAGAACATTCAGAGTTTTCAGAAAACACAAGAATGTGATGTTTTCAAGTCCAGTTTGAGCCGCTTTCATATGTACTTCTTACTTCATATGTACTTTTTTTCACCCCACACTTAACTCCACATGTGAATCTCTCAAATCATGTGTAAAAAATAACTTATTGTGCTAAAGACAAAAGGACCTTTGTTACTTGTATTTTATTGTCTTATATAACACAACACAACCTTGCCAGACTGCAGTGATAGCAGAGGAGGGTAAAGTTCAGCAATCTCGCTGCCGGTCTTTAGCTATATTTAGGGCATCATATGCCTTCAAAAAGAGGACACGCGAAAATTATTTATTATCGCCCACCCCTAATTCTTTAGTGATATAAAGCTGAAAGCTTTTCCAGTTCTACCTTAAATGGTGCAGCAGTTTTGACACCTGATGCACCAGAATGTGAATGATGTACTATTTAAGGTGGTACGGGAAATTTAGCTAGCTAGCTACCGAGACATCAGCATATTACTAGTGAATTTTTTATATGCTTGTTATGAAGAAAATTATCATAAGACATTGAAACGACATTAAACTAAGATAATACAGTGATCATCGTAATTGTTTAACAGAAAACACTCACATTTGTGGGTTTCTTTGGTCGCTTGCGCAGCCGTCTTGCCACTTTTTCTTTTTTCCCCTCATAACACTTCGTTTGGAATGTGCCTCTGAAAAACCTCCGTTTGGAGGGCTTTGTAGCCCTAACACTTCGCCCTACCCCTCTATCTCAACAAAAATTGGGACGCTCTACCCCTAGGCATAAACATGCAAAACGGAGGGCTAAGGGCTAAGTGGTACGGCCAAGAGGTGAAATGGGGTTAGGCCTTTGAATGAGTCAGCAATGAGTGTTGCAGCATAACAGAGGAAATAAGTGTGTTTGCATTTTTAACAAAAGATATGTTTTTATCAGTCTGTCAGAGATGTGCTGTATTTTTGTCCTGACCTTCTGTGTTGAAGGGGAACACCACTGATTTTTCAAAATGCCTTCATAATTACAGGGATGCTGATGTAAACAGTGGTTTGATGTGAAATGCTTTCTTCTAGACAAACTTACTGTGTCAGAATTGTTCACAGTGGTCATTATAGGAACCACGTTCCTGAAGAGTGTAATGCCTTTAAAAGCTCCCTCACAGAAAGTTATTACTTATCACTCTGAATGCCATAATGAAGACCGAGTTGTTAATGCAGCAGTTAAGAGTGTATAGCTGTTGTAGTGTCACATGTGACTCATGCATGTTTTATTCTTGATTGAGAAAAGTTGTGCATGAATTTTTCAGCATTGATGTACTGATGTTAGATATGAATCATATACAGATTTGAAAGGCAAAAACATTGGATCTGAGCAAAAAATCCACACTGAGCGCTAAGGCTAATGTGAATGTAGCTTTTTAAATAAGCACATGCACCATATAGAAGCCTGAAGTCTGGAAAGCTCAATGTTTGGAGCAGCTTCAGACTTCTTCAAAAGCTGGGAAAATATTTTGATTTCAAAGCTGTGATGACAGTGAGCCTAGTGTTCAGATAGGCTTAAGCATATTTTCAGTTACATATTCAGCAATGATATTATAAAAACAATACCTTAGCATTGGTGGAGTGCAGTTGTGAAAGAAATATATTTAGTAGTCAGGCCTGTACCTGCTCCTCATGCTGCACACTGTCAGCGGTACCAGGAATGCCACTTTAGATGGGCCAGATTTTGAATTTCACTCCGGTGGGATAAACGCTACAACAAACACACCATTACCATAACGTTACCATTAACATAGCATTTGCTAGGTGGTGTTCAGACAATGAATTAGGGAAAAAAAAACTGCTGTAGGTGACAGCGGCTTTCCAGTCAACCAGAACACGCTCAGCTCGGTGCTCAAAACTGAAAAAGATCTAAGCTTGTATGCACACAGAAAGATTACTGACCAACAATTTTTAATATGCTGCTGTTTTTTTGGCCATTTATGTGGTTGGTTTTAATGAGCTGGTTCATGATTGTCTCACATTCAGATTTGGATAACTATTTACTGTATGTAATTGATCTAAATCTGTCACAATTTATCTATCTGTCCATCACTCAGTTAGATGGTGGAACAACTTGAGATGTCCAGCTGGCGTAATTGCAACGAATTGTGCCTCACTCAGCTTTTCACAAAGTTCTGACTTTGGTTCTTCATACTTTTTTGGCATCACCTATGTACTGAAATGTGATGTGCTTGGGATTTCGAACTGTGGCTCGAGCGCATTTAACCACAATTGGAATCCTTCATTCTCTTCAATTTGAAATGGGCGCATATCTAATGTGTATATATACACTGTCTGCAGCTGAAGTAACTACACCTCCTTGTTTCTACACTTATTGTCTTTTTTATCAACTCTACCTACAAATATCATACTGATTTAAATATAAGACAGAAAATAGAAAAAAATTTGTAAAGGTATAAAAATCTCAAAAAACAGAAAAAAGAAATGCGCGCACACACATAGGAGAAGCAGTAACTACCAAGTGAGCCCCCGAGCAAGGAAAAGGTGGACCCCATCAGCTGAGCAATTAGAGACATGGAGCAGGAAAGAAAGGAAGTGAGAGGCAAAGAGAAGGACAGAGAAGGATTAAGCCTGCTTGTAATCTGAGTACAGAAGCCGAAGCCTCCGAGAAGAGAGAAATGACCTGCTAAACGAACATGCACACATGCACATGCTCATGCAGGAGGAGAGAGAAATGAAATCCCTCGCTGCCCTTGTGATAGATTACTTTTGAAAGGACTTCAAAGCCTCTGGGGACCCCAAGGCATTAGCAAGGGAAATAGAAGGGACTTTACCTTCAAACGTGCCTCAGTTTCTCTTGCGTAGCAATACATACGCGTGTGTATGCAGACACAGTTACCTACATGTGTCGAGAGTTATTCACTTTAATGTTCATTCACCTCTAGAGAATCGTTGGTAGTAGTTCATAGAATTAATTATAGAAATTAACCGCCTTTAGGGCTGTACAATGCGTGAATATTCTGGCATGTGCTAGGAGAAATGAATCCTGTGTAAATACAGAGCAAAAAAAACATCACAGTTGCATGCATGCAAAAGAGCTTTCCCACTACACTCTGTGTGCAATATCAAACATTTCTCAGCTGCCCAAGCCATCTCAGCATAGTCGTGTGAGTAGTAATTCAGTTCTAATGGTAGTTGTAGTCCGTCCAGTAATTGCAACTTTATAGAACGATTACAGATGTCTTTAAACAATTCAGAATACCTAGTTGTTTAGTTTGGGGTTTTAATGCCATATTCAAAAGTTGTATGGTTGAATACAAAAGTTTGAAATGAAGCAGTTTGTTCTTCATATGCCATATGCACAAGTGTGTGCACCCTGATCAAATTACGTGCTTTGTTGATGTGAAAATAAGTTAACACATCCTCTACAGGGAACCCACTTCTGCACATTTATTGTACCAGTGCGATAACTTTTGCAACATTTTGTGCATTAAATGCAGCACAGTATTTGAACAGGAATTGTGTATTAAAATGTGCAAAAGTGTGTTCTCTGTAGAGGTTGTGTTGACTTATTTTCACTTGGCCAGTATCCACACCTAACTTGCGCTTGGCAATTGGCCGGTTTATTTTTCTTTCAGGTGATCTGGGTTGTGATTTTAAGGCATAAATGTGAGCCTGCCAAGTACATGCACGCTGCATTTAAGTGCTCTTCATGTATTAAGGCCACCCACCAGCCTGTGTGTTTATCAATATATTCATTTGGTAAAGTGCTTCAGGTAAAGAGCAGATACATTTTGTTATTGTCTTTCAGCCAAATCTGCAAAGAAATCAGTATCGGCCATGAAAGTTCATGATTGGTGCAGCCCTAAAAAGGGACTTTTTAAGTACCTTGTGGAAATCAGTAATATTAAATCAAATAGAATTAAAGTGATTAGCTTGGAAGGTAAGAAGATAAAAAGAGAAGACATGCAGAGGAGTAGAAACACAATTGAAGATGTTGGTGAAATACAGTGTAGCAGTACAAATACAGTCCATCCACAGCACTGACGGGACTCTGTTTTGAGCATTAAGGTGAGTGTCAAGGTATCAAGCTTTCTTTTGGTTGAGGAGCCCTTTCTTAATAAGGCACTCTATCAGGTGGCATACAGAAAGAGAGAGAGAGAGATGCCTGCTGACTTGTTTACAGCTGTTAGCAATTCCTTGTATCCTTTTATTTATCATGATGTTTCTTAAATCGACTCCAGGAGTCCCACTGCACTGCAGCGTTTATGGTTCTTTTTCTGCTGCAACACACCTGATCGAACTACTTGGCTAATTAACAAGCCCTTCATGATCTGAAGCAGTTGTGTGGCAGCAGTGAGACCTCTAAACTGTGCAAGGTAGGGCACGATTTGAGAAGCACTTCACCTGATTCATAGCGGTATGAGAGCTGTATTCAATTCCTGTTGGTAGGTTAAGATAATTGCCTTCGTTCTTGGCATGAAGACTCAATAGCGTCATGCTCACTGGAGTATTGACCTGTCATAACAGCTTGGCATATGCTCTCAAATTGGCAGCGGTGAGAGTTTGTGCTTTGGAAATGTTGTGTTTGCAGGGTCACAGTCTGAGACAGGAATGTCCCTGCCAGCTCAACATGTGAAGACTGCCATGGCCATTGTGAAGGGCTGTTCTCATTAGGGCCCAAGTGACACAAAAATTTGTGATCTATACTGATTCTAAGGAGCTGAAAATTCCAATAACTGGATACATCTAATTCAATATGGTCAAATGTGTCTGACTCCAGTAGTTTTGATTAAACAGAGCTTTAGCTGTTGGTCATTAAAATATGCAACAAGCCACCAAATATAGATGCTTTGTTGGTTGGTACAGGTAATCCGTACACTCTTAACATTGGCTAGGCC